GCTGACTGCTTTCTCTCCTTCTCTCTCTCAAATAAATATCTAAAACTTGAAAAATACTATTACTGAAGTGGACTTGGAATTAGTCTTGACTTTAGACATTGAGCCTATGTTCATCCTCATACCAAAAGGCAATCATAAAATGTGACTAAGAAAGTTTGAAATTGTCTTTAGTTAGTTTAGTGGTCTATGTGATATGATAAATGACAGGAGTGAGATTTGAACTCCATTTGTTATATGAAGACGTGTTCTCTCTCTTCAGTGTTTGTGAAATAGAAGGAAGAAGTGGGAAAGTGAGAATTAAATCTCAACAAACATAGTTTTCCCACCTGCATATTAAGAAGTATAGATTTCCTAGAAACGTTCACTGTAATAGTTCTTGGAAGAACATATTTTTAATTCTTTAAAATCAATCAAGTAATTTTTAATTCAGATCTCAGAGTTCTGCTGTGCATCTTAGGGATATCAGACCCCAAAAATTTGATCGTGGGGTCAGTGTTGTGGCACAGTGGGTTGGACAACTGCCTGAGATGCAGGCATCCCATATGGATCAGGTTCAAGTGCCAGCTGCTACACTTTAGATCCAGCTCCCTGCCAATGTGCTGGGGAAATCAGTGAAGTACAGCTCAAGAGATTGGGCTCATGCAGCCATGTGGGAGACTTAGAAGAAGATCCTGGCTCCTGGCTTTGGCCTGACCCAACCCCAACCATTGTGGCCATTTGGGAAATGAGCCAGCAGATGGCAGACTTCTGTGTCCCTCCCTCTCTGTCTCTGTAACTCTGTTTTTCAAATAAATAAATAAATCTTGGGGTTATCATTCTGACATGGTGGGTACAACTCCCACCTGCAATGCCAGCATCCCATGTGGACACCAGTTCATGTCCCAGCTGTTTTCTCTTCTAATCTGCCTCCCTGTTAGTGGCCTGGGAAAAGGGTGGGAGATGGTCCAGGTGCTTGGTTCCCTGCCACCTGTGTGGAAGACCCAGATGAAGCTATTGGCTCCTGGCTTCAGCCTAGCTCAGTGCTGACTGTTTTGGTTATCTGGAGGAGTGAACCAGCAGATGGACAATCTCTCTAGCTCTCTGTCCCTTCTCTCTCTGAAACTCTTTCAAAATAAATAAATCTTTAAAAAATTTAATCTGCAGATGTCACATAGCAATCCATTAAAGCGTTATTTACATTTTGGCAAAAAATTAAAACTATTGTTACATTGCCAACTTTCTTCTTAAGAGGTGACTTCAAAAGCTGGTCTCAATGTAATCTTGACTAAACAATATATAGTTGTCAAACAGTCACCTAGCTGTAGCTGTGAAAAGGAATTCTGTAGAGATTGTTAATATTCACAGTTAATTTTAAGTATCTTCAATAATGTGCTTGGCAGAATTATTCTTAGGTGTTGAAATCCAATTGAAAATTAATCCCTGTTAAATATATGACTGGGAATAAGTGAGGGAGATGACAGTTTGGCACGTGTTCCTTCAGACTTACCACTAAGGGTAAAGCTAAAAACTTTCCATGGGACTCTAAATCCCATTAAGTTGCCAGGTACCAATGGCATCTTGTTAATGTGATCAGTTTAAGTTCATAACTGATCATAGAGATAGAATTAAGTGTCAAATAGATCACATAAATAAGACCAAGAGTCTGCTAATAATAATTGATAGAATTGAAAAGAATGATACAACATGGGAAGCAGGCCACACAGCAGACTCATAGATTGACAAATGCTCTAAACAGCACTCTGGCCTCAGAATCAGCCTTAAAGGCATTCACATCTGGATAAAAAGCCCATAAGAACATTTCAGGCATGAAAAACCAAGACACTGTGGCAAAAAATGACTAAAATGAAAGATCTCTGTGAGTGAGATCATGGTGGAAAGAAGGGGCCATCAAAGAAGGTGGTACCTTTCTCTGAATGGAGGAGAGAGCTTCCACTTTGATTGCGGTCTTGTCTAAATAAGGTCAGAGTTTTTGAACTCAAGAGGCCTCCATAACTTTGGAAGCTCATGACAAGAGCCTTGGGTGATTACTGACTTCATAAATAAGAGTGTCAATTGTTTAATCAACAACAGTAGACACTGCACTTGCTCCTCTTGTAGAATCTCTGTCCTTAATGTGTTGTACCATGAGAATTAATAGTAAAACTAATCTTCAGACAGTACTTTATTCTTTGTATGTCTGTGTGGGTGCAAACTGTTGAAATCTTTACTCAGTATAGAGTTGATCTTCTGTATCAAAGATAATTAAAAATTAATCTTAATTAAGAATGGGATGGGACAGGGAGTTGGAGGTGGGGTGGTTTGGGGATGGGTATGGGAGGAATAACTGCTATAATCCAAAAGTCATACTTATGAAATTTATATTTATTAAATAAAAGCCTTCTATAAAAATGTGATTGGGCCTTGTCCTATCAGTTGAAAGGCAATGAGAAAGCATAAATCATTATGCTAAAAGAGAAGAATTTCTGCCTCAACACAGCAGTTTCCATTCCTGCCTGAGTTTTCAGCCTGCCAGGCTACCCTGCAGATCCCCACTTTGCAGGCCCCACATCACAGGAATCAGTCCTTTAAAAATGCATTTATATTATATCTCACATATATCTGTTCTATGTCCTGTGTTTCAATGGAAAAATCTGATACACTGGACAAGTAACATTGCACCATGATACTATCAAGAACAGAATGAAGGATAGGATCAACCTAGCAAAATAAATTGATTGCTCAGTTTTTTTTTATTTTTTTAGCTGTTTTTTTTATTTAGTAAATATAAATTTCCAAAGTACAGTTTATGGATTACAATGGCTCCCCCCCATAATTTCCCTCCCACTCGCACCCCTCCCATCTCCCACACCCTCTCCCATTCCATTCACATCAAGATTCATTTTCAATTATTTTTATATACAGAAGATCGATTTAGTATATATTAAGTAAAGATTTCATGAGCTTGCACCCACACAGAAACACAAAGTGTAAAATACTGTTTCAGTACTAGTTATAGCATTGCTTCACATTGGACAACACATTAAGGACAGATCCCACATGAGAAGTAAGTAAACAGTGACTCCTGCTGTTGACTTAACAATTTGACATTCTTGTTTATGGAGTCAGTAATCTCCCTAGGATCCAGTCATGAGTTGCCAAGGCTATGGAAGACTTTTGAGTTTGCCGACTTTGATCTTCAGACAGGGTCATAGTCAAAGTGGAAGTTCTCTCCTCCCTTCAGAGAAAGGTACCTCCTTCTTTGATGGCCCCATTCTTTCCACTGGGGTCTCACTTGCTGAGATCTTTCTTTAGGTTTTTTTTTTCTCCCACAGTGTCTTGGCTTTCCATGCCTAAAATACTCTCACGGGCTCTTCAGCCATATCCAAATGTCTTAAGGGATGATTCTGAAGCCAGAGTGCTATTTGGACATCTGCCAATCTATGAGTCTACTGTGTATCCCGCTTCCCATGATGGATCGTTCTCTCCCTTTTTGATTCCATCAGCTAGAAATTGTGTCTCCTCCACGCATGCTACAGAATTACCGCATAGGGCATATGCCTAGTCAGAATCTACAGAACTCCTGTAAACTGAGTCTCCTACACTCAGGCAGCACAACTCCTCTAAACTGCCTCTCTCTACATCCAGCTAACAGAAATCCTGTAAGCTGCATCTCCTACACTCATGCAACAGAAATCCCGCTTACGGCGTATGGCTACTCCCATGCTACAGAACTCCAGTAAACTGAGTCTCCTACATTCAGGCTGCAGAACTACTGCTAACTGCGTCTCTCTACATCGATGTTAAAAAACTCGCGTAAAGTGTTTTCCACCAAAATTTTGGATTCTGACGAAATACAAACAAGAGTTGGTCTTTTCCAATCAGGGCACAGCTGTTGGCTTGCTCCAGTTCTGGCTTTCTGTCACTGTTTTGGGTGCCCCAGCCGACTTTCAGTTTCTTGAGCGGCAATTTCCTAAATGGTTTCTGGGTCTGAGTTGGTTTTGCCTTCTTCCCTCCCAAATTTTGTATTCTGACGCAATACACACAAGAGTTTAGACAGAGGATCCATTATGAAAGAAAAAACACAACCAGTTGGCGTGTCATGCTTAGAAATTTCCAGGCAGCACGACCAAGGTGAGTTTTTGTGTTTTGGAAAATTAAATGGAACCCTTTGCAGAGGGGACCGATAATTCATTCCCCTCAAATCAAGTTGGACAGAGATTTTCAGGTGAATTCCATGAGTTTCCAAAGCCAGTCAGCTGGGAGGGGTAGATGAATCCAGAAACAGCCGGTTTTCTTTTCACTAATTCAAGCCCAATATCACAAAGGACTCTTGCATTTCTTTGGCTTGTTTCACATTTTTCTTATTTATCATGGTTTGTAATGAATTTTCTGATGTGAGCTTTGAATTTGAGGCTAGAATATGGAGTTCAAGACACGGAAGGAATGGGCTTTTCAATCAGGGCACAGCTGTTGGCTTGCTCCAATTCTGGCTTTCTGTCATTGTTTTGGGTGCTTCAACCGACTTTTGGTGTCTTGAGCGGCAATTTCCTAAATGGTTTCTGGGTCTGAGTTGGTTTTGCCTTCTTCCCTCCCAAATTTTGTATTCTGATGCAATACAAACAAGAGTATAGACAGAGGATCCATTATGAAAGAAAAAACACAACCAGTTGGCGTGTCATGCTTAGAAATCCCAGGCAGCACGACCAAGATGAGCTTTTGTGTTTTGGAAGAAGAAATGGAACCCTTTTGCAGAGGGGACCGATAAGTAATTCCCCATAAATCAAGTTTCACGGAGATTTTCAGGTGAATTCCATTAGTTTCCAAAGCCAGTCAGCTGGGAGAGGTGGATGAATCTGGAAACAGCCTGTTTCCTTGTGACTAAATCAAGCCCAATATTACACAGTACTTTTGCATTTCTTTGGCTTTTTACACATTTTTCTTCTTTATCATGGTTTGTAATGAATTTTCTGATGTGAGCGTTGATTTTGAGGTTGGAATATGGAGTTCAAGAAAGGGAAGAAATGGTCCTTTTCAATCAGGGCACAGCTGTTGGCTTGCTCCAATTCTGGCTTTCTGTCATTGCTTTGGGTGCTTCAGCCGACTTTTGGTTTCTTGAGTGGCAATTTCATGAATGGTTTCTGGGTCTGAGTTGGTTTTGCCTTCTTCCCTCCCAAATTTTGTATTCTGACGCAATACATACAAGAGTTTAGACAGAGGATCCATTATGAAATAAAAAACACAACCAGTTGGCGTGTCATTCTTACAAAAGTCCAGACAGCACGACCAAGATGAGCTTTTGTGTTTTGGAAAAAGAAATGGAACCCTTTTGCAGAGGGGACCGATAATTCATTCCCCTCAAATCAACTTTGATGGAAATTTTCAGGTGAATTCAATTAGTTTCCAAAGCCAGTCAGCTGGTATGGGTTGATGAATCCAGAAGTCGCTGGTTTCTTGGGACTAAATCAAGCCCAATATCACAAAGGACTGTTGTATTTCTTTGGCTTATTTCACATTTTTCTTATTTATCATGGTTTGTAAAGAATTTTTTGATGTGAGCTTTGACTTTGAGGCTGGAATATGGAGTTCAAGGCACGGAAGGAATGGTCCTTTTCAATCAGGGCACAGCTGTTGGCTTGCTCCAATTCTGGCTTTCTGTCATTGTTTTGGGTGCTTTGGCCGACTTTTGGTTTCTTGAGCGGCAATTTCCTAAACGGTTTCTGGGTCTGAGTTGGTTTTGCCTTCTTCCCTCCCAAATTTTGTATTCTGACGCAATACACACAAGAGTTTAGACAGAGGATCCATTATGAAAGAAAAAACACAACCAGTTGGCGTGTCATGCTTAGAAATCTCCAGGCAGCACGACCAAGATGAGTTTTTGTGTTTTGGAAAAGGAAATGGAACCCTTTTGCAGAGGGGACCGATAATTCATTCCCCTCAAATCAAGTTTCACGGAGATTTTCAGGTGAATTCCATTAGTTTCCAAAGCCAGTCAGCTGGGAGGGGTGGATGATTCTGGAAACAGCCGGTTTCCTTGTGACTAAATCAAGCCCAATATTACAAAGGACTCTTGCATTTCTTTGGCTTGTTTCACATTTTTTTCTTATTTATCATGGTTTGTAATGAATTTTCTGATGTGAGCGTTGACTTTCAGGCTGGAATATGGAGTTCAAGACACGGAAGGAATGGGCTTTTCAATCAGGGCTCAGCTGTTGGCTTGCTCCAATTCTGGCTTTCTGTCATTGTTTTGGGTGCTTCAACTGACTTTTGGTGTCTTGAGCGGCAATTTCCTAAATGGTTTCTGGGTCTGAGTTGGTTTTGCCTTCTTCCCTCCCAAATTTTGTATTCTGACGCAATACAAATAAGAGTTTAGACAGAGGATCCATTATGAAAGAAAAAACACAACCAATTAGCATGTCATGCTTAGAAATCTCCAGGCAGCATGACCAAGATGAGCTTTTGTGTTTTGGAAAAAGAAATGGAACCCTTTTGCAGAGGGGACCGATAATTCATTCCCCTCAAATCAAGTTTGACGGAGATTTTCAGGTGAATTCCATTAGTTTCCAAAGCCAGTCAGCTGGAAGGGGTGGAATGAATCCGGAAACAGCAAGCTTCCTTGTGACTAAATCAAGCCCAATGTTACAAAGGACTCTTGCATTTCTTTGGCTTGTTTCACATTTTTCTTATTTATCATGGTTTCTAATGAATTTTCTGATGTGAGCTTTGACATTGAGGCTGGAATTTGCAGTTCATGATATGGAAGGAGTGGGCTTTTTCAATCAAGGCACAGCTGTTGACATGCTCCAATTCTGGCTTTCTGTCATTGTTTTGGGTGCTTCAGCCAACTTTTGGGTTCTTGAGCGGCAATTTCCTAAATGGTTTCTGCGTCTGAGTTGGTTTTGCCTTCTTCCCTCCCAAATTTTGTATTCAGACGCAATACAAACAAGAGTTTAGACAGAGGATCCATTATGAAATAAAAAGCACAACCAGTTGGCGTGTCAAATTTAGAAAACTCCAGGCAGCATGACTAAGATGAGCTTTTGTGTTTTGGAAGAAGAAATGGAACCCTTTTGCAGAGGGGACCGATAATTCATTCCCCTGAAATCAAGTTTCATGGAGATTTTCAGGTGAATTCCATTAGTTTCCAAAGCCAATCAGCTGGGAGGGGTGGATGAATCCAGAAACAGCTGGTTTCCTTGTGACTAAAACAAGCCCAATATCACAAAGGACTCCTGCATTTCTTTGGCTTTTTGCACATTTTTCTTATTTATCATGGTTTCTAATGAATTTTCTGATGTGAGCTTTGACATTGAGGCTGGAATATGGAGTTCAAGACATGGAAGGAATGGTCCTTTTCAATCAGGGCACAGCTGTTGGCTTGCTCCAATTCTGGCTTTCTGTCATTGTTTTGGGTGCTTCAGCCGACTTTTGGTTTCTTGAGTGGCAATTTCTGAATGCTTTCTGTGTCTGAGTTGGTTTTGCCTTCTTCTCTCCCAAATTTTGTATTCTGATGCAATACAAACAAGAGTTTAGACAGAGGAACCATTATGAAATAAAAAACACAACCAATTTCTGGGTCATGCTTAGAAATCTCCAGGCAGCACGACCAAGATGAGCTTTTGTGTTTCGGAGAAAGAAATGGAACCCTTTCGCAGAGGGGACGGATAATTCATTCCCCTGAAATCAAGTTTAACGGAGATTTTCAGGTGAATTCCATTAGTTTCCAAAGCCAGTCAGCTGGGAGGGGTGGATGAATCCGGAAACAGCCGGTTTCCTTGTGACTAAATCAAGCCCAATATCACAAAGGACTCTTGCATTTCTTTGGCTTGTTTCACATTTTTTTCTTATTTATCATGGTTTGTAATGAATTTTCTGATGTGAGCTTTGACTTTGAGGCTGGAATATGGAGTTCAAGACACGGAAGGAATGGGCTTTTTCATTCAGGGCACAGCTGTTGGCTTGCTCCAATTCTGGCTTTCTGTCATTGTTTTGGGTGCTTCAACTGACTTTTGGTGTCTTGAGCGGCAATTTCCTAAATGGTTTCTGGGTCTGAGTTGGTTTTGCCTTCTTCCCTCCCAAATTTTGTATTCTGACGCAATACACACAAGAGTTTAGACAGAGGATCCATTATGAAAGAAAAAACACAACCAATTAGCAGTGTCATGCTTAGAAATCTCCGGCAGCATGACCAAGATTAGCTTTTGTGTTTTGGAAAAAGAAATGGAACCCTTTTGCAGAGGGGACCGATAATTCATTCCCCTCAAATCAAGTTTCATGGAGATTTTCTGGTGAATTCCATTAGTTTGAAAAGCCAGTCAGCTGGAAGGGGTGGAAGAATCCGGAAACAGCCAGCTTCCTTGTGACTAAATCAAGCCCAATAGTCACAAAGGACTCTTGCATTTCTTTGGCTTGTTTTACTATTTTTCTTATTTATCATGGTTTCGTAATGAATTTCTGATGTGAGCTTTGACATTTGAGGCTGGAATTGGAGTTCAATGATATGGAAGGAGTGGTACTTTTCAATCAGGGCACAGCTGTTGACTTGCTCCAATTCTGGCTTTCTGTCATTGTTTTGGGTGCTTCAGCTGACTTTTGGGTTCTTGAGCGGTAATTTCCTAAATGGTTTCTGGGTCTGAGTTGGTTTTGCCTTCTTCCCTCCCAAATTTTGTATTCTGACGCAATACAACAAGAGTTTAGACAGAGGATCCATTATGAAATAAAAAGCACAACCAGTTGGCGTGTCATGCTTAGAAATCTCCAGGCAGCACGACTAAGATGAGCTTTTGTGTTTTGGAAGAAGAAATGGAACCCTTTTGCAGAGGGGACCGATCATTCATTCCCCTGAAATCAAGTTTCAAGGAGATTTTCAGGTGAATTCCATTAGTTTCCAAAGCCAATCAGCTGGGAGGGGTGGATGAATCCAGAAACAGCTGGTTTCCTTGTGACTAAAACAAGCCCAATATCACAAAGGACTCCTGCATTTCTTTGGCTTTTTGCACATTTTTCTTATTTATCATGGTTTCTAATGAATTTTCTGATGTGAGCTTTGACATTGAGGCTGGAATATGGAGTTCAAGACATGGAAGGAATGGTCCTTTTCAATCAGGGCACAGCTGTTGGCTTGCTCCAATTCTGGCTTTCCATCATTGTTTTGGGTGCTTCAGCCGACTTTTGGTTTCTTGAGCGGCAATTTCTGAATGCTTTCTGGGTCTGAGTTGGTTTTGCCTTCTTCCCTCCCAAATTTTGTATTCTGACGCAATACAAACAAGAGTTTAGACAGAGGAACCATTATGAAATAAAAAACACAACCAATTTGTGGGTCATTCTTAGAAATCTCCAGGCAGCATGACCAAGATGAGCTTTTGTGTTTTGGAAAAGAAATGGAACCCTTTTGCAGAGGGGACCGATAATTCATTCCCCTCAAATCAAGTTGGACAGAGATTTTCAGGTGAATTCCATTAGTTTCCAAACATTGTCAGCTGGAAGGGTTGGATGAATCCGGAAACAGCCGGTTTCCTTGTGACTAAATCAAGCCCAATATCACACAGGACTCTTGCATTTCTTTGGCTTGTTTCACATTTTTCTTATTTATCATGGTTGTAATGAATTTTCTGACCTGAGCTTTGACTGTGAGTCTGGAATATGGAGTTCAAGACACAGAAGGAATGGTCCTTTTCAATCAGGGCACAGCTGTTGGCTTGCTCCAATTCTGGCTTTCCGTCATTGTTTTGGGTGCTTCAGCCGACTTTTGGTTTCTTGAGCGGCAATTTCCTAAATGGTTTCTGCGTCTGAGTTGGTTTTTGCCTTCTTCCCTCCCAAATTTTGTATTCTGACGCAATACAAACAAGAGTTTAGACAGAGGATCCATTATGAAAGAAAAAACACAACCAGTTGGCGTGTCATGCTTAGAAATCTCCTGGCAGCATGACCAAGATGAGCTTTTGTGTTTTGGAAGAAGAAATGGAACCCTTTTGCAGAGGGGACCGATAATTCATTCCCCTGAAATCAAGTTTCATGGAGATTTTCAGGTGAATTCCATTAGTTTCCAAAGCCAATCAGCTGGGAGGGGTGGATGAATACAGAAACAGCCGGTTTCCTTGTGACTAAACCAAGCCCAATATCACAAAGGACTCTTGCATTTCTTTGGCTTGTTTCACATTTTTCTTATTTATCATGGTTTCTAATGAATTTTCTGATGTGAGCTTTGACTTTGAGGCTGGAATATGGAGTTCAAGACATGGAAGGAATGGAAATTTTCAAACAGGGCACAGCTGTTGGCTTGCTCCAATTCTGGCTTTCCATCATTGTTTTGGGTGCTTCAGCCGACTTCTGGGTTCTTGAGCGGCAATTTCCTAAATGGTTTCTGCGTCTGAGTTGGTTTTGCCTTCTTCCCTCCCAAATTTTGTATTCTGACGCAATACAAACAAGAGTTTAGACAGAGGATCCATTATGAAAGAAAAAACACAACCAGTTGGCGTGTCATGCTTAGAAATCTCCTGGCAGCATGACCAAGATGAGCTTTTGTGTTTTGGAAGAAGAAATGGAACCCTTTTGCCGAGGGGACCGATAATTCATTCCACTGAAATCAAGTTTCATGGAGATTTTCAGGTGAATTCCATTAGTTTCCAAAGCCAGTCAGCTGGGAGGGGTGGATGATTCAGGAAACAGCCGGTTTCCTTGTGACTAAATCAAGCCCAATATTACAAAGGACTCTTGCATTTCTTTGGCTTGTTTCACATTTTTTTCTTATTTATCATGGTTTGTAATGAATTTTCTGATGTGAGCTGTGACTTTGAGGCTGGAATATGGAGTTCAAGACACGGAAGGAATAGGCTTTTTCAATCAGGGCACAGCTGTTGGCTTGCTCCAATTCTGGCTTTCCTGTCATTGTTTTGGGTGCTTCAGCCGACTTTTGGTTTCTTGAGCGGCAATTTCCTAATGGTTTCTGGGTCTGAGTTTTTTTTTTGCCTTCTTCCCTCCCAAATTTTGTATTCTGACGCAATACAAATAAGAGTTTAGACAGAGGATCCATTATGAAAGAAAAAACACAACCAGTTGGCGTGTCATGCTTAGAAATCTCCAGGCAGCATGACCAAGATGAGCTTTTGTGTTTTGGAAGAAGAAATGGAACCCTTTTGCAGAGGGGACCGATAATTCATTCCACTGAAATCAAGTTTGATGGAGATTTTCAGGTGAATTCCATTAGTTTCCAAAGCCAGTCAGCTGGGAGGGGTGGATGAATCCGGAAACAGCCGGTTTCCTTGTGACTAAAACAAGCCCAATATCACAAAGGACTCTTGCATTTCTTTGGCTTGTTTCACATTTTTCTTATTTATCATGGTTTGTAATGAATTTTGTGATGTGAGCATTGATTTTAAGACTGGAATACGGAGTTCAAGACATGGAAGGAATGGTAATTTTCAAACAGGGCACAGCTGTTGGCTTGCTCCAATTCTGGCTTTCCGTCATTGTTTTGGGTGCTTCAGCCGACTTTTGGTTTCTTGAGCGGCAATTTCCTTAATGGTTTCTGGGTCTGAGTTGGTTTTGCCTTCTTCCCTCCCAAATTTTGTATTCTGATGCAATACAAACAAGAGTTTAGACAGAGGATCCATTATGAAAGAAAAAACACAACCAGTTGGCGTGTCATGCTTAGAAATCTCCAGGCAGCATGACCAAGATGAGCTTTTGTGTTTTGGAAAAGAAATGGAACCCTTTTGCAGAGGGGACCGATAATTCATTCCCCTCAAATCAAGTTTGATGGAGATTTTCAGGTGAATTCCATTAGTTTCCAAAGCCAGTCAGCTGGGAGGGGTGGATGAATCCAGAAACAGCCGGTTTCCTTGTGACTAAATCAAGCCCAATATCACAAAGGACTCTTGCATTTCTTTGGCTTTTTGCACATTTTTCTTATTTATCATGGTTTGTAATGAATTTTCTGATGTGAGCTTTGACTTTGAGGCTGGAATATGGAGTTCAAGACATGGAAGGAATGGGCTTTTTCAATCAGGGCACAGCTGTTGGCTTGCTCCAATTCTGGCTTTCTGTCATTGTTTTGAGTGCTTCAACTGACTTTTGGTGTCTTGAGCGGCAATTTCCTAAATGGTTTCTGGGTCTGAGTTGGTTTTGCCTTCTTCCCTCCCAAATTTTGTATTCTGACGCAATGCAAAAAAGAGTTTAGACAGAGGATCCATTATGAAAGAAAAAACACAACCAGTTGGCGTGTCATTCTTACAAAAGTCCAGGCAGCATGACCAAGATGAGCTTTTGTGTTTTGGAAAAAGAAATGGAACCCTTTTGCAGAGGGGACCGATAATTCACTCCCCTCAAATCAAGTTGGAAGGAGATTTTCAGGTGAATTCAAGTAGTTTCCAAAGCCAGTCAGCTGGGAGTGTTGGATGAATCCGGAAACAGCCGGTTTCCTTGTGACTAAATCAAGCCCAATATCACAAAGGACTCTTGCATTTCTTTGGCTTCTTTTACATTTTTCTTATTTATCTTAGCTTGTAATGAATTTTCTGATGTGAGCTTGGACTTTGAAGCTGGAATATGGAGTTCAATACATTGAAGGAATGATCCTTTTCCATCAGGGCACAGCTGTTGGCTTGACCAATTCTGGCTTTCCGTCATTGTTTTGGGTGCTTCAGCCGACTTTTGGTTTCTTGAGCAGCAATTTCTTAATGCTTTCTGGGTGAGTTGGTTTTCCCTCCTTCACTCCCAAATTTTCTATTCTGACGCAATGCAAAGAAGAGTTTAGACAGAGGATCCATTATGAAATAAAAAACACAACCAATTGGCGTGTCATGCTTAGAAATCTCCAGGCAGCACGACCAAGATGAGCTTTTGTGTTTTGGAAAAAGAAATGGAACCCTTTTGCAGAGGGGACCGATAATTCATTCCCCTCAAATCAAGTTTGATGGAGATTTTCAGGTGAATTCCATTAGTTTCCAAACATTGTCAGCTGGAAGGGTTGGATGAATCCGGAAACAGCCGGTTTCCTTGTGACTAAACCAAGCCCAATATCACACAGGAATCTTGCATTTCTTTGGCTTGTTTCACATTTTTCTTATTTATCATGGTTTGTAATGAATTTTCTGATGTGAGCTTTGACTTTGAGGCTGGAATATGGAGTTCAAGACATGGAAGGAATGGGCTTTTTCAATCAGGGCACAGCTGTTGGCTTGCTCTAATTCTGGCTTTCTGTCATTGTTTTGGGTGCTTCAACTGACTTTTAGTTTCTTGAGCGGCAATTTCTTAATGCTTTCTGTGTCTGAGTTGGTTTTGTCTTCTTCCCTCCCAAATTTTGGATTCTGACACAATACAAACAAGAGTTTAGACAGAGGATCCATTATGTAAGAAAAAAGACAACCTGTTGGTGTGTCATGCTTAGAAATGTCCAGGCAGCACGACCAAGATGAGCTTTTGTGTTTTGGAAAAAGAAATGGAACCCTTTTGCAGAGGGGACCAATAATTCATTCCCCTCAAATCAAGTTTGACGGAGATTTTCAGGTGAATTCAATTAGTTTCCAAAGCCAGTCAGCTGGCAGGGGTGGATGATTCCGGAAACAGCCGGTTTCCTTGTGACTAAATCAAGCCCAATATCACAAAGGACTCTTGCATTTCTTTGGCTTTTTGCACATTATTCTTATTTATCATGGTTTGTAATGATTTTTCTGATGTGAGCATTTATTTTACGGCTGGAATATGGAGTTCAAGACACGGAAGTAATGGTCCTTTTCAATCAGGGCACAGCTGTTGGCTTGCTCCAATTCTGGCTTTCTGTCATTGTTTTGGGTGCTTCAGCTGACTTTTGGTTTCTTGAGCGGTGGCAATTTCCTAAATGGTTTCTCTGTCTGAGTTGGTTTTGCCTTATTCCCTCCCAAATTTTGTATTCTGACGCAGTACAAACAAGAGTTTAGACAGAGGATCCACTATGAAATAAAATACACAACCATCTGTTGTTGGTAGATTTCTGTATGTGAGCCATTCTAACCGGGGTGAGGTGAAACCTCATTGTGCTTTTGATTTGCATTTCCCTGATTGCTAGTGACCTTGAACATTTTTTCATGTGCCTGTTGGCCATTTGGATTTCCTCTTTTGAAAAATGTCTATTGAAGTCCTTGGCCCATCTCTTAAGTGGGTTGTTGGTTTTGTTTTTGTGGAGTTTCTTGATCTCTTTGTAGATTCTGGTTATTAACCCTTTATCTGTTGCATAGTTTGCAAATATTTTTTCCCATTCTGTTGGTTGTCTCTTCACTCTCCTGACTGTTTCTTTTGCAGTATAGAAACTTCTCAATTTGATGCAATCCCAATAGTTGATTTTGGCTTTGACTGTCTGTGCCTCCCGGGTCTTTTCCAGAAATTCTTTGCCTGTGCCAATATCTTGAAGGGTCTACCAACAACAGATGCTGGCCAGGATGTGGGGAAAAAGGGACACTAACCCACTGTTGGTGGGAATGCAAACTGGTCATGCCACTATGGAAATCAGTCTGGAGATTCCTCAGAAACCTGAATATAACCCTACCGTTCGACCCAGCCATCCCACTCCTTGGAATTTACCCAAAGGAGTTTAAAATGACAAACAAAAAAGCGGTCTGCACCCTAATGTTTATTGCAGTACAATTCACAATAGCCAAGACCTGGAACCAACCAAAATGCCCATCAACGGTAGACTGGATAAAGAGATTATGGGATATGTATTCTTAAGAATACTATACCGCAGCAAGAAACAACGAAATCCAGTCATTTGAAACAAAATGGAGGAATCTGGAACACATCATGCTGAGTGAAGTAAGCCAGTCCCAAAGGGACAAATACCATATGTTCTCCCTGATCGGTGACAACTGACTGAACACCAAAAAGGAAACCTCCTGAAGTGAAATGGACACTATGAGAAATGGTGACTTGATCAGCATAGCCCTGACTGTTAATGGACAACTTAATACATTATCCCTCTTAGTATTTTTTTTTTGTCTGTTCTACTTAATATGACTGGTTTAATTCTGTAATTATCACACAGTTATTCTTAAGTGTTGAAGTTTAACTGAAATGTGATCCCTGTTAAACATAAGAGTGGGAATAAGGGAGGGAAGAGATGTATAATTTGGGGCATGCTCGGGCTGACTTGCCCAATTGGTAGAGTTGGAAACATACCAGGGGATTCCAGTTCAATCCCATCAAGGTGGCATGTGCCAATGCCATCTCACTATTCCAAGTGATCAATTTCAGTTCACAATTGATCATAATGAAAGGACTAAGAGTCAAAGGGAGTACATAAACAAGTCTAGTATCTGCTAACACTAACCGATAGAATAAATAAATGGGAGAGTGATCCAACATGGGAAGTGAGATACTCAGCAGACTCATAGAATGGCGGATGTCCTAAATAGCACTCTGGCCTCAGAATCAGCCCTAAAGGCACTCGGATCTGGCTGAAAAGCCCATGAGAATATTTCAGGCATGGAAAGCCAAGACACTCTGGCAAAAAGATCTCTGTGAGTGAGATCCCAGTGGAAAGAACAGGTCTTCAAAGAGGGAGGTGCCTTTCTCTGAAGGGAGGAGAGAACCTCCACTTTGACTATGACCTTGTCTAAACAAGATAAGAGTCGGAGAACTCAAGGGGCTTCCATAGCCTTGGAAACTCATGACTGGAGCATAGGGAGATTACTGATGCCATAAACAGGAGTGTCAATTGGTAAAGTCAACAACAGGAGTCACTGTGCACTTACTCCTCATGTAGGATCTCTGTCCTTAATGTGCTGTACACTGAGGCTTAATGCTATAACGAGTACTCAAACAGTATATTTCACTTTGTGTTTCTATGGGGGTGCAAACTGTTGAAATCTTTACTTAATGTACACTAAACTGATCTTCTGTAAAAAAAAAAAGAAATTATCAATTCCCACTTGACTCTCACTGGGATTAAACATGACAATAGGTCTGTCTGATTTCATCATCATTTAAAAAAAATCATCTATTATTTTTCACTTTATGTTTCTGTGTGGGAACAAACTGTTGAAATCCTTACTTAGGGTATACTAAGCTGATCTTCTGTATATTAAGATAATTGAAAATGAATCTTGATGTGAATGGAAGGGGAGAGGGAGTGGGAAAGGGGAGGGTGGTGGGTGGGAGGGACGGTATGGGGGGGAAAGCCATTATAACCCATGAGTCGTACTTTGGAAATTTATATTCATTAAATAAAAGATAAAAAAAAAATCGAGACGGGGAAACTAAAAAAAAAAAATACACAACCAGTTGGCGTGTCATGCTTAGAAATCTCCTGGCAGCATGACCAAGATGAGGTTTTGTGTTTCGAGAAAGAAATGGAACCCTTTTGCAGAGGGGACCGATAATTCACTCCCCTGAAATCAAGTTTTATGGAGATTTTCAGGTGAATTACATTAGTTTCCAAAGCCAGTCAGCTGGGATGGTGAATGATTCCGGAAACAGCCGGTTTCCTTTTCACTAAATCAAGCCCAATATCACAAAGGACTCTTGCATTTCTTTGGCTTGTTTCACATTTTTCTTATTTATCATGGATTGTAATGATTTTTCTGATGTGAGCTTTGACTTTGACGCTGGAATATGGAGTTCAAGACAAGGAAGGAATGGTCAGTTTCAATCAGGGCACAGCTGTTGGCTTGCTCCAATTCTGGCTTCTGTCATTGTTCTGGGTGCTTCAGCCGACTTTTGGATTCTTGAGTGGCAATTCCCTAATGGTTTCGGGGTCTGAGTTGGTTTTGCCTTCTTCCTTCCCAAATTTTGTATTCTGATGCAATACACACAAGGGTTTAGACAGAGGATCCATTATGAAAGAAAAAACACAAGCAGTTGGCGTGTCATTCTTACAAAAGTCCAGGCAGCACGACCAAGATGAGCTTTTGTGTTTTGGAGAAAGAAATGGAAGCCCTTTGCAGAGGGGACCGATAATTCATTCCCCTCAAATCAAGTTTGATGGAGTTTTTCAGGTGTATTCAAATAGTTTCCAAAGCCAGTCAGCTTTGAGGGGTGGATGTATCCGGAAACAGCCGGTTTCCTTGTGACTAAATCAAGCCCAATATCACAAAGGACTCTTGCATTTCTTTGGCTTGTTTCACATTTTTCTTATTTGTCATGGTTTGTAATGAATTTTCTGATGTGAGCGTTGATTTTAAGAGTGGAATATGGAATTCAAGACACAGAAAGAATGGGCTTTTTCAATCAGGGCACAGCTGTTGGCTTGCTCTAATTCTGGTTTCTGTCATTGTTTTGGGTGCTTTAGCCGACTTTTGGATTCTTGAGCGGCAATTTCCTAAATGGTTTCTGGGTCTGAGTTGGTTTTGC